CCCCCCCCCACACACACACACACACGCACACACATGCACCAACCCCCCCACCAAATGCCACCCCCGCCCCTGCAGGCCTTCATCTTCTGCGGCACCTCCTTCCTGCTGGCCCGCCAGGCGCTGTGCGTGGCGGGCAGCCTCACCACCAACGAGCTGCTGATGCGCCACAAGTACGGCTACCTCAAGGCGGCCGACCACAGCTACAAGAACCCGTTTGACGAGGGGCCCGCCAGCAACTGCGTCCAGGTGGGCGGGTGGGTGCGTGGGTTGGTCGGCGGGGGGCTGTGTTGGGGCCTGCAGGAGCAGGGAGGACACGGCTGGCAGGAGGGGCCTCGCCGTGGGGTGGTGGCTGCATGGGCAGCCGGCCGGCCCCCATCCACGCACGCACACACAACACACACCCTGTCCCATGCGCTGCGCCTGGGCTGCAGTTTTGGGGCGAGGCTCGGCCCGACTGGTATGCGCTGTACATCAAGCGACAGCAGTACCAGGGGGCGGTACCGGAGCCGGACGACCCCGAGCAGCCGGGGCCACCGCAGGGCTCTGCAGGTGCCAGCGGCGAGGCCCCCTGGCACCCTCCCGCCTTCAGCGTCACCTCGCTGCTGCGCCGCTGGGAGCTGACTCGTGAGGTGCTGCTGGCGTCACGACAGGCCAAGCGGGAGCGCCGCGAGCAGTGGCTGCTGCAGCAGTATGGCGGCGTGAGGCCGGGCAGCGCCGAGCAGGCGGCGGCGGCGGCGAACGGCGGCGCGGGCTGCTCGCACGCCGGCTGCAGTAGCTGCGAGGCACACCCATGACCGCTTCTTTTGAAGCTTTTGTAAAAAAGGATCTCGAGCTCGCAACAGGTATCTGCAGGGTCCAGGCATGTTTGTGGGTAACGACGAGCTGAGGCAACCGATGGGCGCCGCAGGCGGGAGCGGTAGTTGCGGTGCCCTGCCACCACACCGCCTGCAGGGCGATCTCCGGCTGGCGCTGGTCGCCTCCAGGCCATTCGATGCCTCATCTGCGCCGCGGGAGGCTGCGGCGGGGCAGTGCACTGTGCCTGGCACGCAGGCACATGCCACTGCCGTTGCCGCCGCCAGCTGGCCCTCGCTGGCTTCGTGGGATCAAACCTGCTGCTGCTCCCCCGCAGACTTGAGCCCCGCCTTTGTCGTCGAATACCTCGGCAGCCGCTACCTGCGCCGGCAAGGCGCCGCGTCCCGCACCTCGCCGCCGCCGCCGCCGCCGCCGCCCCAGCAGAAGGCCGCCTGCCACCAGCAGGCCGCCGCCACCGCGGCCGCCGCGGGGGGGACGAGCGCCCTGCCGCAGCTGCCGCCGCCGCCCTGGGAGCCGCGCCTGCGGCGCGAGGAGGTGGAGCGCGGCCTCGCCTACTACGGCAGCGGCAATCGGCTGCGCCGGGTAGCGGCAAAGCTGATGGCGGGGCACCCCATCAAGGCGTACGCCCTGGGCGGCAGCGTGACGGCGGGCAGGGGAGCCTCCGACTTGTCCCTCGCCTACCCCTCCCGCTTCTTCCAGTTCATTAATGCCACCTGGCCCCACAGGTGCGCGCCAGGGCTGGCTGGCTGGCTGGATGGCTGGATGGCTGGATGGGGGGCGGCGGGTGGCAGCACCAAGCCTGCGCACAGGCTCCAGCCGGCGCGGTCGTCGCCTGGCGGCCAACACCCTTGGCGCATGCTGCACGGCATCCCAGCT